TCTAGATGGCGTGTATTATGAAATGCTAAAGCATCTGTCCTGTAAGTCACTGACTGCCCTTCTCACTCTTTACAATAGAGTGTGGAAGGAGCGTACATTTCCCAGTGCATGGAGGAGAGCTGTTGTCATTCCTATTGCTAAGCCAGGGAAAGATCCAAGGAATCCCTCCAACTATCGGCCAATTGCCCTTACGAGTTGCCTCTGCAAACTGTTTGAAAAGATGGTAAACAGCCGCCTAGTCTACTTCTTGGAAAAGAATGATATTATATCGCCTTATCAGAGTGGTTTTCGAAAGGGAAGAACAACTGTAGATAACATGCTCCTCTTAGAGACATCTATTCGAAAAGCATTTGTAAGAAGAAGCCACCTTGTCTCGATATTCTTCGACATTGAAAAAGCTTATGATAAGGCATGGAGATACGGTATACTCCGGGATCTTCACGAGAGTGGCTTGCGCGGCAACCTACCAATTTTCATTCAAAATTTCTTGAACACTAGAACTTTTCAAGTAAGAATTGGCTCTGTTTTTTCGGATGTTTTTGAACAGGAAGAGGGTGTGCCTCAAGGCTGTGTGCTCAGTGTAACCCTGTTTAGTTTAAAAATAAATTCTGTACTAAAAGAACTTCCTCCCACCATCTTGGGATCTCTATATGTTGATGATCTGCAGATTAGCTGTCGAGGAGCAGACATGAGATATGTAGAGAGGCAACTGCAGATGGCTCTGAATAAGATCCAAGAATGGTCAGACAAACAGGGATTTACATTTTCGAAACAGAAAACTGTGTGCGTGCACTTTTGTAGGAAGCGAGGTCTCCATCCTGAACCTGAGTTATACTTGAATGGTACAATTATTCCAGTTGCGCCTGAAGTAAAATTTTTAGGAGTGACGTTCGACCGAAAATTGACTTTCCTTTCTCATGTTTTAAACCTGAGAAAGAAGTGTCTAAAAACACTAAATATTTTAAAAGTGTTGGCGAACACCTCCTGGGGTGCAGAGCGTTGCTCCATGCTTCGCATTTACAGAGCGCTTATCCGCTCTAAACTGGACTATGGCTCAGTTGTTTATGGATCCGCTCGCTCATCTGTTTTGTTAAAACTGGATCCTGTTCACCATCAAGGTCTGCGGATTTGTTCAGGAGCTTTCAGGACTTCTCCTGTGCAGAGCCTATATGTTGACTGTAACGAACCATCACTTTATCTGAGGCGTGAGCAATTGTCCCTTTTGCAATATTTTAATACTCTATCCTCAACCTGAACATCCCAATAAGCTGTGCTTACTTGATAATGAGTGTAACACATTATTTGAAACACGTCCATCCTGTGTTCCTACTTTCCCTTTAAGAGTTCGCCCTGTCATTGAGGAACTCTCCCTCTCTGATATGCACCCCCAAGCAGTACAGAATTTTGAAATTCCACCTTGGGAAAATTCACGGATCCAGCTTCTTGATGTTTTTAAACATCACGTAAAGGCGAGCACTAACGAGATCGTTTACAGACAACTTTTCGCTGAGCACAGGCACAAATATAGCAGTTATTATCCGATATACACAGATGGATCAAAGTCAAATGATCATGTCGGGATGGCTTTTGTATTTGAAAATTACATTGAGGGCAGATGCCTGCACCATGCTTTCTCAGTCCTAACATCTGAACTAACTGCAATATATTATGGCTCTTTTGTACATCTCAAAGCTCTGCCACAAAAAGTTCATAGTTTACACAGACTCGTATAGTGCTCTTAAATCCTTGGAAGCTTTTCCCAACACTCAGAATCCTGTGGTAGTGGATGTTCTCAAAATTCATAGAAATTTAACGATTACGAGGATATGAAATCCTGTACTGCTGGGTTCCCGGGCATACGGGAATAAAGGGAAATGAGCTTGCAGACATCGCAGCCAAATCTGCTGTTGAACTGTCCACTCGCCTTATCCCTTTTAGAGACATCTGCTGTGTCATCAAGGGAAAGATACGAAAAAAATGGCAGCAAATTTGGGATGTTCAGCATCACAACAAGTTGAGAAACATCAAACCTAGAATTGAGCATTGGGATTTTGCTGGAAATCGTAAAGAGGACGTTCTTTTGACTCGCCTCAGAATTGGTCACACTAGAGTCACACATAACTATCTTCTTAAAGCTGAAAATGAGCCTGTTTGTTTTAATTGTAATGTTTGTTTATCTGTTCGTCATATTTTAATTGAGTGTCCATGTTTTAATAGTCTTCGCCAGAAATATTTTAATAGCTGTGACTTACCTCTCGACCGTTTAATCGGAAGAGAGGTCAATTCTAATTTATTTTATTATTTAAAAGAGATTGGCTTTTATTACCAAATGTAATTTGTTTTGAAGACTGTGTCTTGAATTTAATATGTGCTTTTAACTTGTTTTTATATGACTTCATCCTCTGGATTTGGTACATTTATCTACTTCTTTTTATTTATTGAATTTTAATGTCATCAATTGTAATCATCTCATCTTTTGTTTGGCGCGTCATAATCATCTCTGGTTTTTGCGCCATAATCACTCACTCACTCACTCACTCACTCACCCCATTAAAGAAGGTATGTGGAGAACAGAAGAATTTACATGGCAACCTCTCGGCCACCTAGGGGCCAATAATTCATCCCGTGCTGCATCTGCAGTTCGAGATAATTTTTGTGAATATTTTTCTGCAGAAGGAGCAGTACCATAGCAAGAAAGGAAAGCATTTCTTGTGTAAATTTATTTTTTGAAAATATTTATGAAATATGTAAATAAAACAATAAAACAACTGATTAGTGTTATGTACAAATAATTTCATTTATTTCTTGCCATAATTTGTAAAAATTGTATTTTCGTTTCCAATTTTTTTTCATCAGTCATTTTTTTCAAATCACTATGGAGACTCAATAAAAATAGTTTATCATCATCGTCATCATCATTTTCACATCGATGGTGATTTTTTAAATATTTATTTGTTTCATCAATAACAGAAAGCAATGAACTTTCAATTGTTTCTTTCTTTTTTCTTTTCTTCCCTCTAGGAGTATTTTCATCATTATTATTTGAATTAGTGTTATCTAAGATTTGTCTGGAGCTTGATGCAGGTGATAAAGGTGATTCACATGAGGGCATAACGTGAATAACAGATGGCTCCACATATTCAGGTTCTGTCGGATATTCAATATTATCTGAAGACTCGGAGACAACAGATTCTACTGTGAAATTAAGCTCCTCGAATTCTTTGTTTCCTTGAAAGTTTGTCTGTGTCCTGTTTAGAAAGAAAACAAGGAAAAAAATCAAATGCATATGAAAAATATTTTTAATACATTAATGATTATTTTGTGATACAAAGTAATTAGGTAGTGAAATAAGCAAATTTAGAATCTTATTTGTTATTGCATTAAATAGCTTATTTTTTAATTTTTATTACTTATGAACTGCAGACAATTTAAATAGATCTTAAAATTTAGCATGAAAAATAATGTAAACGAAGAGTCTTCTTGCTTCAGTGTGGCCCTCAGGGGCTCACTTTTGTGAGTACGGGTGGCAATGAAGATCTTGGTGAGACGGACACGAGGGCCCCAGATCCTCTTGGCTGAAGTTTGGGCTCGTCACGAGAGACTGGAGCAGCCCTTGTCTCTAGTTTTCGAGTGGCGAGAACCCTCAGGGGCTCACTTTTGTGAGTACGGGTGTGGCAATTCCGAGGTACCCTAGCCCTTCAGGGGATCATCATCTTGGTGAGACGGGTGTCACAATCCTGGAGCCCCAGTGATCTATCCTCTTCTTCGTCTCCTCTCCTCTTGGCTGGAACTTTCTCCCTTCGCTTCTCCCTCGTGGTTACTCTTTTGGGAGTTTGGTGCTCGTTACGACAGACTGGAACAGACCTTGCCTCTAGTGTTCGAGTGGCGAGAAAACTGCCCACGTGTTTGCCGTGCGTGGAGACCCGTGTCACTGGAAAGGAGGGTCCTGGTAGTTGAGGGGCGAGGTACTGTCTCCAACACACTGCTTTGGCCTCTGCTTCAGCTAAACAGGAGGCACTTTAGTCAGCCTCACGGGTGTCAATTGGCTGGTCATGAGCCCTTGTGTCAGTGGCTTGGGGTTAAGCTCTCGGGAGTACCTGCTTTCGGGAAAGCCGACTTCAATTTGCATATAGGTCCGGCTAGCCCTACCACAGGAATCTGTGTTCCCTTGTTGGGCTCCGTGGTGGACGGGGCCGTCGGATCCGAATCTTTTCTATTTTCAACATGGCAAATTCACATATTTTTTATAAAAGATTTTAATAAAAGTTACTCCAGTCATTCAACCAAGTTCCCAGCAAAATCTCATTCATATCAAAGATCTGATTGATGTCTATCATCCTGTGTGCTTGGCAGTTCACGAAACTCTGTTGAAACCAGAACATCAGGTTAAGCTACGGAGGTGCAATTCAAACAGGAAGATAATCCTGATGGCAATCGTGTCTGTGGAGGCGTAGGATTTCTAGCGTCACTAGACTACCCCTCCAGCTGCATCTCATTACATACAGGCCTCCAGGCTGTAGCTATGGCAGTCAATATCCAAAATTTAGTTTCGATTTGCTGCCTCTACTTGCCTCCAAGCCAAAACATCGATCAACGAGATTTAGATAATTTAATAGAACAGCTGCCTGAACTTTTATTATAATAGGTGACTTTAATGCCCATAGCCCGCTCTGGGGAAGTAAGGATTTAAATTCTCGAGGTAGACAGATTGAGCAAATGATTGAAGATCACTGCCTCTGTCTTCTCAACAATGGACAAAATACCTATTTCCACGAGCCTACTAGAACCTTTCATGCTATTGATCTTGCCATCTGCTCGCCATCTCTCTTTTACCTTTTGCTTCGTTCAATGTAGGGAATGAACCATATAATAGTGATCACTTTCCCATTTTTGTTACCCTCTCACGAGAAGGAGTAAATCCCATGTTTAGAACCCCTCGCTTCATATATGACAGGGCTGACTGGGAACTTTTCTCATTTATTGCAGAGCTGACGGAAGAGATGGTTACAGATGTGCCTATCGATGAAGCAGTGAAATCGGCTACTGATATTATTATACAGGCAGCTAATGTTTCTATACCTATGACATCAGGAAAAGTAAGGAAATATCCAAAGCCATGGTGGAACCATGAGTGCCAGGAAACTCAGAAACAGGAAAGAAAAGCTTGGCGTAATCTCCGTAGGTACCCAACGCTGTCAAACTTAATAGCATTCAAAAGAGCCAAAGAGATTCATGGATATCCTATGTGTCTGGGATAACATCATCAACACCATCTAAACGAGCCTGGGAAAGAGTTAGAAAAGCATGTGGAATATATAATTACCACTCACTTTCCATTCTGGAAAAAGATGGCCGAGTGATAAGTTCCACAGAAGAAATTGCAAACACTATCGGTGAAAATTTTGCTGCGGTTTCTTCCAGCGATAATTATTCACCAGCATTTCTTTCTGTTAAGCTACATTCTGAAAAAATTCCCATTGCTTTTAACTCTTCCAACTCCGAGCCTTATAATAGCGTGTTTACAATGCACGAACTGAAAAGAGTTTTATCCCAGACACGTAGGTCTAGTCCCGGTCTGGATGCTATTACTTATGAAATGCTGAAACATCTCTCCTATAAGTCATTGACTGCCCTTCTCGTGCTTTATAACCGCGTGTGGAAGGAGCATAGTTTCCCCAATGCTTGGAAGAGAGCTGTTGTTATTCCTATACCTAAACCGGGAAAAGACCCAAAGGACCCCTCCAACTACCGGCCCATTGCACTTACCAGTTGCATGTGTAAGGTGTTTGAAAAAATGGTAAATAGCCGCCTAGTCTATTTCTTGGAAAAGAACCATATCATTTCGCCTTATCAGAGCGGTTTTCGAAAAGGAAGAACGACCATGGATAACATGCTCCTTTTGGAAACATCCATTCGTAAAGCCTTTGTGAGAAGAAACCATCTTGTCTCTGTCTTTTTTTGACATTGAGAAAGCTTATGATAAGGCATGGAAATATGGTATACTGCGTGATCTTCACGACTGTGGCTTGTGTGGCAACCTGCCTATTTTCATTAAACACTTTTTAAGGGCAAGGACTTTTCAAGTCAAGATTGGTGCTGCCCTCAGGGGGCTCACTTTTGTGAGTATGGGTGTGGCAATCCCGAAGTAATCATCTTGTTGAGACGGGTGTCACGATCCTGGAGCCCCAGTGATCTATCCTCTTTTCCGTCTCCTCTCCTCTTTGCTGGAACTTTTTCCCTTCTCTTCTCCCTCGTGGTTTCTCTCTACGGTCCGGCTGAGTTTGGGGCTCGTCACGAGAGGCTGGAAACACCCTTGTTTCTAGTTTTCAAGTGGCGAGAAAACTGCCCACGTGTTTGCCGTGCGTGGAGACCCGTGTCGCTGGAAAGGAGGGTCCTGGTAGTTGAGGGGCGAGGTACTGTCCCCAACACACTGCTTTGGCCTCTGCTTCAGCTAAACGGGAGGCACCTTAGTCGTCCTCACGGGGTGTCAATCGGCTGGTCACTAGTCCTTGTGTCAGTGGCTTGGGGTCAAGCTCTCGGGAGTACCTGCTTTCGGGAAAGCCGACTGTGGGGCTTCAGTTTGCGTATAGGTCCGGCTAGCCCTAACACAGGAATCTGTGTTCCCTTGTTGGGCTCCGTGGGGGCGGGGCCGTCGGACCCGAATCTTTTCCTTCTTAAATATGGCTAATTCTCAAATCTTCTTAATTAAAGACTTCGAAAGTCACTCCCAGTTACTCTAAGCTCTAGTTCCGAAAAATCTGCAAAAAAAGTACTGTACAAATGCAAATGAAAAAAATCATAAACAATAGTCCCCGTTTCCTAGTCATCTCTAGTCCTTCTGGCGAAATGCATAAGATGTCTCCTTTCGTAATAAACAAATACATCCAGTCTTGTATTGGTGAGCCGAGAAATATAAAGCGTCTCCGCTCCGGAGACTTGCTTATTGATACAACTCAGCCACCCAGTCTGCTTCTTTACTCAGATAACTAAACTTGGCAAGCGAATGTCACTGTAACACATAAGTCACTGAACTATTGTCGGGTGTAATCTCAGAATTCGACCTTCTGTATGTTTCCTGAAGAAGAGATCGCTTCTGAGTTATCCTGAACAAAATGTCTGCGGTGTAAGGCGGATCAAGATGCGTAAGAAGGTAAGTTGATAGACACGAAACACGTGATCCTTACCTTCAACACGCCTGATCTGCCTAAGAATATTAAGGCCGGATATCTAAATATGTCCGTAAGACCTTATATTCCAAACCCTATGCGATGTTTCCAATGCCAGCGTTTCGGCCATTCTAAGACGTCTTGTCGTGGCAGCCTACATGCGCCCGATGCTCACAGATTGGCCACGATTCTGAAAATTGTACCGCTGCGCCTCTTTGTATAAATTGCAAGGGTGAGCACCCAGCATTTTCACGCCTCTGCCCAAAATGGAAAATTGGAAAAAGAAGTGCAGACTGCAAAGTTACGAGGAACATCTCATATGCCGAAGCCAGAAAACTAGTCCAAAGCACACAGCTTCGACCAAATACAATCATATGCCAGCATGCCGTTAAATCAACTCGTTACAGTTGCCACCCAAACATCAATAGGCACACAGACAGCTCAGAATAAAACCCATCCATCAACCTGCAAGCAAAAAAAAAAAGAAAAAACCAACACACGTAGTACAAAATAAGAAAGTAGTTATTCAAAGCAAAGCCAAAAAATGTCTACTGAAAAATCAATTAAAAAAATAGAAGTCACAGCAGCATAGCTCTTTGATGAAATGATTTCTGAATCTGCGGATTCAGATAGTATGGAAGTAGAAGAGGGTCTGGAAGTTCCCGAACATCTACTTCCACGAAAACAAAAAGAACAGCACAGAAAAACAAACATCAAATTCATAATGGCCACCCTCGTGTCATGGAACTGTCGCGGTTTCCACCGAAATTTCCTTGACATCAAATCTATAATAAATGTTATCATCCTGTGTGCTTAGCAATACAGGAAACAAATCTGAAACCAGAACAACATGCAAAACTTCGGAGGTTTTCTTTCGTCAGGAAGGATAACCTTGCAGGTGAGCGTGCCAGTGGAGGTGTAGGTCTCCTCTCCTCACTGGATTATCCCTCAAATTACTTCCTTTGACGACATCCCTCCAAGTTGTCGCTACTCAAATAAATTTTGATATTGTTTCATTTGTTTCTCTTGTATTTGCCTCCAAATGAGCACATTTGATCAGCAAGATTTAAATAATCTAATAGAGCAGCTGCCTGAGCCTTTTATCATAATAGGAGATTTTAACGGCCATAGTCCACTCTGGGGTAGTAAAGATACAAATTGCCGAGGAAGACAAATTAGAGCAGATGATCGAAGATCATAGCCTTTGTCTCCTAAATAATGGGCAAGATACGTACTTCCATGAGCCTTCAAGGACATTCCACGCTCTCGATCTTGCCATCTGTTCACCATCTCTGTTGCCATTTTGCACTTTTAGTGTCGGAAATGACCTGTACAACAGCGATCATTATCCTATTTTTGTGTCTCTTGCACGAAGAGGAGCAAACCCCGTGTCGAGAGTCCCTCGTTTTATCCTGGACAGGGCAGACTGGGAACTCTTCTCTTCCGTTGCAGAGCTGACAGAGGAAATGGTAGAAGATGCGCATATCGATGACGCTGTTGAAGCTGTTACTAATACTATTATTCAGGCAGCTATGCTTTCGATTCCTAGAACATCAGGAAAAACACTAAAATATTCGAAACCATGGTGGAGTCGCGACTGTCATGAAGCACTGAAAAAACAGAAAAAAGCATGGGGTATTTTTCGTAGATATCCTACTCTGCGAAACCTCATAGCTTTTAAAAGAGCCAAAGCAAATGCACGGAAAGTAAGAAGGCAGAGCCAGAAGGGATTCCTGGATTTCATATGTGTCCTCAATAACATCCTCTACGCCTAGTAAGCGGGTTTGGGAAAGAGTTCGAAAAGCATGCGGAATGTATAAAGACCACTCACTTTCCTTTCTGGAAAAAGATGGCCGAGTGATTAGCTCCATAGAAGAAATTGCAAATACAATTGGTGAGACATTTGCTGCCGTTTCTTCCAGCCGAAAAATTACTCACCTGCATTTCTCTTCTATCAAGCAACGCTCTGAGAATAAATCCCATCGCTTTCAACTCTTCCAACTTCTGAGCCGTACAATAGAGACTTTACTATGGTTGAATTAAAGGAGAGCTTTGTTGCAGACACATAGGTCTTGTCCGGGTCTGGATGGCGTGTATTATGAAATGCTAAAGCATCTGTCCTATAAGTCACTGAGTGCCCTTCTCACACTTTACAATAGAGTGTGGAAGGAGCGTACATTTCCCAGTGCATGGAGGAGAGAGCTATTGTCATTCCTATTGCGAAGCCAGGGAAAGACCCGAGGAATCCCTCGAACTATCGGCCAATTGCCCTTACCAGCTGTGTGTTTGCAAACTGTTTGAAAAGATGGTAAACAGCCGCCTAGTCTACTTCTTGGAAAAGAATAATATTATATCGCCTTATCAAAGCGTGGTTTTCGAAAGGGGAGAACAACCGTAGATAATATGCTCCTCTTAGAGACATCCATTCGAAAAGCTTTTGTAAGAAGAAATCACCTTGTCTCAATTTTCTTCGATATGAGAAAGCTTATGATAAGGCATGGAGATACGGTATACTTCGCGATCTTCACGAGAGTGGCTTGCGCGGCAACCTACCAATTTTCGTTCAGAATTTCTTGAATACTAGGACTTTTCAAGTAAGGATTGGCTCTGTTTTGTCTGATGTTTTTGAACAAGAAGAGGGTGTGCCTCAAGGCTGTGTGCTCAGTGTAACTCTTTTCAGCCTAAAAATAAATTCTGTATTAAAACAACTTCCTCCCACCATTTCAGGTTCTTTATATGTTGATGATCTACAAATTAGCTGTAGAGGTGTGGATATGAGACATGTAGAGAGACAGCTCCAGATCGCTTTGAACAGGATCCAGGAATGGGCAAAAAGACAAGGATTTACGTTTTCGAAACAGAAGACTGTGTGCGTGCATTTTTGTAAAAAGCGAGGTCTCCATCCTGAGCCTGAATTATACCTCAATGGGTCTGTAATTCCAGTTGCACCTGAAGTAAAATTTTTAGGGGTGATGTTCGACCGAAAATTGACTTTCCTTCCTCATGTCTTAAACTTGAGAAAAAAGTGTACCAAAATTCTAAATATTCTAAAAGTCCTGGCGAACACCTCCTGGGGTGCAGAGCGTTGCTCCATGCTTCGCATTTACAGAGCTCTAATTCGCTCTAAACTGGACTACGGCTCAGTTGTTTATGGATCCTGCTCGGTCTTCAGTGTTGTTAAAACTAGATCCTGTTCATCATCAGGCTCTGCGGATTTGTTCTGGAGCCTTCAGGACGTCTCCTGTGCAGAGCCTTTATGTTGACTGTTACGAAACATCACTCCGTTTGAGGCGTGAGGAGTTGTCTCTTTTACGCTATTTTAATATTTTATCTCAACCTGACCATCCTTATAACTTGTGTATATGTGAAAATAGCTGTGACCTTTTATTTGAGGCACGTCCATCCTGTGTGCCTTCTTTTCCTGTTAGAGTTCGTCCCCTCATTGAAGAATTCTCCCTGTTTGATATTTCCCCACAGGCAGTACAGCATTTTGAAATTGCACCTTGGGAAAATGCACAAATCCACCTTCTTGACATTTTCCACAATTACGGAAAAACAACTACTGATGAGAGCATCTACAGACAAATTTTTGCTGATCACAGGCAGAGTTACAGGAGTTATGTTCCCATATATACGGATGGCTCTAAGTCAGCTTGCCATGTTGGCATGTCATTTATAATTGGTGACCACATGGAAGGCAGACGTTTACACGACGCTTCCTCTGTCTTAACCTCCGAACTGACTGCCATATATTATGCGCTTTTGTACATCTCAACGCTGCACCATCGAAAATTCATTGTATATACGGACTCCTACAGTGCATTGAAAGCTTTAGAATCCTTTTCTAGCACTGAGAATCCTGTGATAGTGGATGTTCTCAAGTTGAATATTAAATTGACATGTCGTGGATTTGAACTTCTGTACTGCTGGGTCCCCGGACATACAGGAATAAAGGGCAATGAGCTGGCGGATATCGCAGCGAAATCTGCTGTTGAAATGTCCGGCCGCCTCATCCCTTTTAAAGATATCCGTTGTGTCATAAAAGAGAAGATCCGAAAGAAATGGCAGCAACTTTGGGACCTTCAACTTCATAACAAGTTGAGAAGGGTGAAGCCTAAAATAGAGCATTGGGATACTACTAGCAATCGCAGGGAGGAAGTTCTTTTGACTCGCCTTAGAATTGGTCACAGTAGAGTGACACATAACTACCTTCTGAAAGCTGAGAACGAGCCTATTTGTGCAACTTGTAATGTTTGTCTTTCAGTTTATCACATTTTAATTGAATGTTCATATTTTAATAATCTTCGTGAGAAGTATTTTAATAGCTGCGACCTGCCTCTCGACCGTTTAATCGGAAGAGAGGTCAATAATAATTTGTTTCACTACCTCAAGGAAACAGGTTTCTATTATTTAATTTGATTTTTGTCCTGAGATTTTATGTTGGAATTTTAATTAATCAGATGTTTTAGGATTTTATATCTATACTGCATCTCTCATTATCAAAGTTATAATCAGCATTTTCATCCCATCATTTAAATATCTTTTTACTTGCCTCGATTTTAAAAGTGTGCTGTTGTCTATATTTTTTGTTCCTTTAGTTTGTATGTTAAAAAAGAATCCTGTGTTTGGCGCGTATGGCCTATTGAGCTTTGCGCCATAAAACTACTACCACCACCACCACCTCTGGATTTGGTACATTTGTCTAGTTGTTTTTATTTATTGTATTTTAATTTCATCATTTGGAATCATTCCATCTCGTGTTTGGCTCGCCATAATCATCTCTGGTTTTTGTGCCATAATCTCTCACTCACTCACCGACTTTTATATGACTTCATCCTTTGAATTTGATACATTGGTCTACTTGTTTATTTATTGAATTTTAATGTCGTCAATTGTAATCATCCCATCTCGTGTTTGGCGCGCTATAATCATCTTTGGTTTTTGCGCTGTAATCTCTCACTCACTCACTCTTTCTTCTTTATCTTGTATTTTGGCATTCAAATTTAATATTCCAGACTCGTCTAACGTGCCATGAACACAATAAACATGTTTTTACTTCTTCGCCAAAAGACATTTGCAAATGCATTATAAAATGCAGGGTCATCATCCGACATAAATACACGTGGTTTGAAATTACATCTTTTTTATTTCCATAAAAAATACATAAAATGTTTCAGCCGTTGTTTTAGAGGAATACATGATAGCAACTGGAAATCCTTCATGATTAGCATAATTTACCATCAGAGTTGTTAGCTGATATCCATACTGGTTTGTACCTAGTGATGAGTCGGTACTACCGAACCGGGTATTTTGTAACGGGTACTGAAAATCGGTACATCCAAGTACCCGTTACTTCAGTACCGAAATCGGTACTTTTCGGTATTCGTTACTTCTGTACCGAAACGGGTACTTTTCGGTATTCGTTATTTCTGTACCGAAACGGGTACTTTTCGGTATTCGTTACTTCTGTACCGAAACGGGTGCTTTTCGGTATTCGTTACTTTGTAACGAAAATATGCGTCTGTTCTCGGTATTTCGGTATTCGTTACTGGAGGATCGATGAGGGTTCAGCTCACTTCGGTTTTGGTACGAGGACAGTAGTATCTGGTTGTATTTTCGAAATGGTGATATGCGCTCCTTGTGTCCATGAATTGTCTGCTCCTCAGACACTTCCGTAGTTGACATGTTTTCTGATATTCAAAATCTTACTCCGTACAGATAAAACCAAACACGTGGTGACGTGGCAGAGTTCCTTCAGTGCGCAAAATCGTTAGCTGCCTATTTCGGTACTCCAAATCGTTACTAGGGTACTTCGGTACTCCAAATCGTTACTAGGGTACTCCGGTACAGTAAACCGTTACTAGGGTACTCCGGTACAGCAAACTGTTACTCCGGTATTTCGTTACTCCAAATCGTTACTTGGGTACTCGGTACTTGAAATCGGTTTTCGGTACTTTTCAAAGTAATGGTTACTTGAGTAATGGGTATTTTGTACCGGGTACTTGTCTGTATCCGTTACTTTCGTACCGGATACAGACAAGTATCCGACAAGAATGTACCGAAGTTGCCCATCACTATTTGTACCATGTGTGGAATCAATCATTATTATATTCTCTCCATATAACTGCAATAATTTTAATTGGGCATGATTCATAATGGCGAATAAAAAATCCTCTTTTTTATTAAAAGCGTACTCTGCCAATGATTCATCTACTGGTTTATAAGCCAAAATAGAATTTTCATCTTCCTTTAGCATTTGACGAACACGTATGTCAACTGACATAGCATCGTTCTGATTGAAAACATCATCTTTATTTATTTTATAGTCTCGGCATATGTTGTGTAGATCTTTTCGATTAGTTAAACTCAAACGCTTAGTTGGTGAATAATTTTTCCTCAGACTATTCAAAACATGTGATTTAAGTACACCAAGATTCATATGACCTGCTAATTCCACTTTCTCATTTTGAGAAAGTGGTAGTCGTGCAACCTCACATTTATGTTCAACATGAACTTACTGGTAGTGTACCTGGATTTCAATAACATCCAGAACAGTTTTTTTATATGCTGTAATATATGCAGGATAGGTTTTTCCTATTTTCTCTGAACCAATATTCTTCACTCTGCGCATCCTATCCTTCTTTGGTTCAAAAGCGCCACTTCTGCGACAATAAAATCTCATACAAATTCTCCCATCAACAAGCTGCTGGTCCCCACATTTTTTAGAACAATGCGATTGTGTTTCCTTTTCAATTTCAGCTTTCCATATTTCAAAATCTTCAACAGAATAAAATATATTTTCTTGGAATGACAACGTAATATCAGGATGATTGATTTGAAGTGGGAATGCAAATCACTCATGTGCAAAAATTTTTTATTACAAATGCTCCTTACTAAAGTCTGTTTATTGTCCTTATATTCATTCTGATCACATGGATAAAAGTTTCTTACATGCTCATAATGGTTTTTTTCTTGCTTTGAAGATAAACTGGCAATGTGAGCATTTATTTTCAGGTGCACTGTTGTGTAACAACTGCATGTGGGCTTTCAAATCATTCATATTATCAAAGTCTCTGTGCAAACTCTGCATTTCTTTCGGCTCTTGAGTTCATCTAGGGTTAGAGAAGAATGAAACTTTCTTACATGTTCATATAGATTTTTCCGAGCACTAAAAGTGTGCTGGCATTCTGGGTATGATATAAAATTTGTAGACATACTTTATTTTATTATTAGTGAAAAAGAATGAATAGTCCCGAAAAGAACTTTTCTCCCCTCGTAAAAGAAATACAATAATGAAAATATTATAGAAATTATAATGGAAAAGGCTGATGAGTTCTGAAAAGAACTTTTTTATTATAGTTGTTATCAACACACCTGACAGTAGTTAGGAAATGAAATACGAAATGCTGGCGAGAGATACAGCAGGTTTACCGTCACTTGTTGGCGAAAGAAAGAAACGAGCATGCGCAGATCATTTAAACATTTTACTCGTAAGGAGCCCGTTTCACGCATATTCACAAAGCCTACAGACCTTTTACGCTACGATCTGCTCTCATTGAATGAAACGTTTGCTTGGCGGTCATCTTCGGAATGGCAAGTTAGGCTTTTTAACGAACGCCAAACACTCCTTGTGGGCTTTTAGTAAATCGAGGGAAACAGCGTTAGTTTCATTAGAAAAATATCTATTTTATGAATGAAAGCTAAGGGGAATTGTGTAGAATAAGTTTTAAGGGGTCTCATACCTTCTAAAGAGTCGTGATGCATGCCGAAAGTGTGTCTGTCTTGACTAATCATAAGATTTTTAATACTTTTTCAAATTACACAAAAATTTAAATGCCATTTAAGATATGTTTCAATTCTAAGAAAATCATAAAATAATCCCTTCATTTAATTACAAAAATAATATAATACATTTAATATAACTTTAAAAAAAATTATGTTACTTTACGATCCGTAAGATAACTAATTTAGAATATAGGTATTGGCTTACAACTCTCTATAAAATGATCCAAAACTACATTCTATAGAATGAATTAACAATACAAAAATTATTTTAACATGACTATTTTATAAATTATGCAAATTTGAAGAAAAAAGAGAAATATCATAAATTTATAGTTATTTACTCATTAAAAATAATCTAAATGTGTAAATAGCTAAATGACATTAATTCATTCTATAGATAATATAACTATATATACACAGGAAAAAAATTGGGCTTATACGTGCAATAGTTTTTTTTTTTTTTTTTTAATCTTACGGATCGTCATGAAAATTAGTGTTTTGAGAAAACGCAGCTTAAAGTTAAGTTATGGAAAAAATAAAATCAAAATAAACTTACATCCCTAAAATTTGCCAGATTGATAGGAAACATCTCCTAATAATAATTGTTAATTTTTTCTTAATTGTTCTAAGTATTTTTTCATGGAAGCCCTTAATGTTTGGGAATTAGCACGAATTTCAGCAGTTTGAACTTTTCATGTCAGCTTACCTCACAATCCGTTAGATAACTAAATTTAGAATATAAGTATTGGCTCATGACTTGCTTTAAAATGATCCCAAAAGTGAATTCTATAGAATGAATTAACAATACAAAAATAATTTTTACATGAAGAGTTTAAAAATCATGGAAATTTCAAGAAGAGAGAAAAATATAAATTTATAGTTAATCACTAATTTAAAATAACCTAAATGTGTAAATATATAAATGATAATAATTCATTCTATAGACAATATAATTAATATACACAGGAAAAAATTGGACTTATACATGCAATAATTTTTTTTTTAATCTTACGGATCGTCATGAAAATTAAGATGCATTTTCTCAAAACACTAAAGTTATAATATAAAAAGAAATTAAAATAAACTTACATGACTGAAAATCACCAGCTTGATAGTAAACACCTTCTACTGATAATAATTGTTCATTTTTTAAAAATTTTTCCAAGCGTTTTTTTTTTTCTGCGAGCCTCTAATGTTCGGAAATCATTGCGAATTTCAGCAGTTCGAACTCTTTCTATGTCGGCTAAATTTGCAGCAGTTAAATGCAAGAATACCAGGATTTATGCCCAATTCGTTTAATGTATCCATGCGACCTCTATAGCCATCATTAAATGCTATGACAGCTTAAAAAGCTGCAACTTCTGCGACTCTCTTTCCACAACCAGAAGTTTTTAAATAAAATTTCTAAACAATCGAGTTGAAACTCTCGATTTTGAGTTTTTGATTTTGAGTCTTGCCGCTGAGACACCGTTTGAGTAAACTTGGTGCAGATAAATCTGCATACACAATTTTAATTTTTTTCATCACTTCTACAGGTACAGTAGGTTGATGATGGAAACTCTCTTCATTTGAATCAGAACAGGCCACATGTTTGTTATATTTGCACCACGAGTTTCCCCCTTGTTGGCAAAACATATGCATGGGTTCTTCATCAGTAGAAGACATGGCAATATGTAGCACATACAGCTTCTCTCATGATCTGTAGCGAATGGGTATTCAGAGTTGCCAACTCTCCCGATTTAGGCGGGAGACTCCCGATTTTCGACCGCTCTCCCGCCAACCCGATTT